TCTGGCTGGCTTGCAGGATGTCTTCATGCTATTGGAAAACACTATCCACCTGCGAGTAGACTGCGCTAGAATACATCCCCTCTCTGGGATGGGTCAGGCTGGTTCCTAGGCTGATGTCTTTTGGAAGCGGAGTACTCTACCCAGCTAGCACGCTTTAGGATGCTACAAACCTGAGGCTGAGGTTCAGTCAGCACACGTTAGCTAGAGCAACGGACCTGGAAAAGAGATTAATGAAGAGACCCCCACCCCTACCCCAGATCCTACACCTCTTCCACAGGCTCCCCAGGATTCTGTCTGTCTACAGGCCCAGCCAGAATTGCCCCCTCCAACGAGGACTCAGTACTGCGGTGCGATGCTCAGCAAAGGCTCCTCTTGATAAACAGCGAGAACAGAGAACAAAAGCACCACGTCAAGTGTGGCGGCGTTTTCTTTTCTGAGCCTTCTACCAGCTAATCCCGCTTCCTGTTTCTCTAAGGGCTTTCCTGACAGGCAGCTTGCTTCATATTTGGTCATTGCCCTCTCACCTTCCCGGGTGAGTCGGTGCAGCTGACCTTGTACCCTTCGAGCTCCAGGGCTCCAGTGTGTACTCTGCCCATTTCGCGATCTTCCCAGGTAACACCCCCCTCCCTCCACACTGAACAGAGAAATCGTCCCACCCACAGCCCCACAGCCCACAGCCCTCTGCCTCTGAGACAGACGCGCATGCACCGGGGACGTGAGTCACGGCATTCACCCATCCTCTCCATCTGAAGCTATAATTGGAATGGCTGTGCACGCACTGCGCGCCTGCTTCCTGTATTTCACAGGCCAGGGCTCCGGGAGCTGCTAACCACACACTGCTCAGCCCGAGATGCCACTTGGATGATCACAAGGTGGTTGCTCGGAAGGGTGACTGCTTCCAAGAAAGCAGGTTGGTTGAGTCCAGCTATCCCCACCTCCTTCGACGAGCATCAGCCATGTGTCTGGGACATGTGCCTAGCAGTGTGCCTGCCTTTGTGGGTGGTTCAAAAGAAATTGTTCTGGAATGAGTTTAGAGGAGGAGGCAGGAGCATGGAAAGCAAGAAAGGGCATTGCAAACACATGTGCTAAGCAAGCTCCCCAGGCAGAGGGGGCTGGGGAGGTCCATGGAGGAGGAGAAAAGGAAGAGAGAGCCAGAAGATAGGTAGCTGTGGGGGAGATGGTGGGCCAGCGGCCATCAGCTCAGGGAAGATGCCTGGGGGGGGGGGGGTATGAGTTGGACTTGTTCCCACAAACCTAAGCATTAAGGTGAGTCTGAATTTTGAAGCTGCCTCCTCTCTATGCTAGGTGAGTAGCTGTTTAGTAGTGTTTTGTCTGTTTAGGAATGTTTCATTGTCAGGCAAAGTATTTTCTCCTACTCCCCTCTGTAGAGAAAGAAACTGAGGCCAGAGAGGCAGAGGCCTGAGCTTTCAGTCCTTCCACCAGAGCTGAGGGGTGACATACACATCCCAGAGTCTGCCTTCCTTCGAACTTTATGGCCATAACAGTGAGAGATGTTTTTCTTTAGGAAGAAGTGTGAAGGGGTGGGGCTAGGCTGATTTCTCCACCCCTTTTCTGTGAAAACCGAAGGTCAATCTCACCTTTTAGATACAGATCTTGGTTTGTGTCCAACCTGCTGGGCTCTCAGGAATGTTCTGGTGTCCACTGCAGGCTGGATAATGCTGTGAGCTCTCTAAGTTTGGGAAGACCATTTCCAGGCTGATCTGGCACAGGCTGAGTTCCCGACAGAGGCAGCAATTGACATCCAAGTCTTCCCTATTGGACATGAGCATGCAAACCTGAGCATAAATATACATACAAAGACCTTTGCCTAGAGCATCTTCAGGTTCTAGAAAAGAAGACTGGGATTAGAAAAGCAGTTCCCAGGCCTGTGTGGAGGTCAGTCACAGAAGGGGTTCTCGGAAGCCCATATCAGCAAACCCTTAGCATGATCTGTATGGAAAGAATGGGGCAGGGTGGGGGACAAGACATCTCTCCTCAAGTCTCAAGCACACATGGCATCTCAGAACACCTGGGAGCCACTTGGTCCCTTCCTTCCCCCGACAATGTAGGGAAGTGGCAAGAACTTGGCAGTCCACTGTGGTGAGTCACCAATGGTCTTGAGGGTTCTTCCAGTCTGCTTCAGTTTGTTACAACTGACTGAACTTCTGTCCCTAATCACCTGGAAAAGTGGAGTGGAAATAGGGCACATCTGTAAATTAAGGTTATCTGACTTCATTCTATTCCTAGATGCAAATTATAGAGTGGCCGAGTCAGGACAGTTGAAGAGAGGACTATTGGGAAGCAGTAGTATGTGAATCCCTTCACCGTGACAGAGAAAATTATCAAGTGACACACTTCCACTTGGGGATATTTATCACCAAAGAACAGAAACCAGGGAATTGCACACATATGTGTACCCATGCTCACACAGCAATATTCACAGTCGCCTCCTAAGCAGGGAAGGGAAGTTTTCAATGCAGCACATGCATCCAATAAGACATTATTGAGTCTGTGAAAGGTGGAGAGTCTGACAGACAGAACAAAATGGGTGAGCCCCAAGGATGCCATTCTGCTCTACTTAGATAACATGTCACGAAGAGTCAGTTTAGAGACAGAATGTTGGAATGGTGCTTGCCAGACACCGGAGGGAGGGAGACTGGGTAGTTGTTACATGGGTATAGAATTTCAGTTTTGCAAGATGAGAAAGTTTGTGTCATATGTATTTCATCACATTTTTTTAATTTGAGAAATGAAAAGAAAAGCATGCATTCTGTCTCGTACATGACTACAGCTATGTGAAATGCTAGATCACTGTGGCCAAGGAGATTGGCAGTGATGTAGAGATTGGAAGCACCTCTTTGTCCTTGCTTCCATAGACAGAACAAACTTGCACAGTGTGTAGATGGAGTTTCTGTCCCACTGGGTCCCACAGCTATTCAATCCCAAATAAACACACAAAGGCTCATAACAGTTACAAACTGGTTGGCCTGTTAGCTCAGGCTTACTATTAACTAGCTCTTACAACTTAAATTACTCCATAATTCTTATTTATGTGTAGCCATGTGGCTTGGTACCTTTTCTCAGTAAGGCATTCTCATCTTGACTCCTCTGCTTCTGGATGATGACTGACTATGCCTTTCCTCTTCCCAGAATTCTCTTAGCCTGGTTGCCCCACCTATACTTCCTGATTGACTATTGGTCAATCAGCATTTTATTTAACTAATACAAGTGACAGATCTTTACAGAGTACAAGAACATTGTCTCACAGTGCCCAAATGTTTGACAAGAATTTTCACATAAAGTCTGAGAAAGCTTTAAGAAAAGGATTCTAGAAAGACAAAAGAACAAGGTCAAGCTTGGCTTCTTGGTAGCGACATTGTCTCAGGTGGGATCTGTTTGCTAGAGGTGAGCAGAGGCACTGCTCTTTTAAGAGAGGTTTCTTGACTCAGCAGCAAAAACTGTGCAGTTCTTTTAGGAGGGCCTGTCACCAAACACTTAAATGGTGTTTATGAGCAGTTGCTGGCATCCTTCTCGGTGGTGACATGGACCTAGAGACTCCAGAGTTGTGGTTTAAAAAAAATGGCTCCTGCCAGTACTTCTACCATGAGGCTAGACTCTCAGGAAGTCAATGAGTGGGGCAGATCTAGCCGGCAAAGCCGTGACTTCAATCCTAGTCATATCACTTAGTAAATTAAAGACTCGTGTGGTCAGAAAAAGAGAGATATATAGTAAAAACAGAATCAGATGAAAAAAGTCTCTAAACCGTTTACAGTGTGTTTAAAAATATATGTAGGCTTGGGAGTGAAAAAAAGGATAGAGAAAGTCCTTTAAAAAAAGAGAAAGAAATAGAGTAGTTGGGTGTGGTGTCACACGCCTTTAATCCCAGCACTTGGGAGGCAGTGGGAGGCAGATCTCTGTGAGTTCAAGGGCAGTCTGGTCTACAGAGTGACTTCCAGGACAGCCAAAGATATACAGAGAAGCCTTGTCTCAAAAAAATTAAAAGTAAAAATAAAAGGAATAGAGTAAAAAAAATAAAGTCACATAAAGATGGAAATACACAGAAAATCTGGATACTGTATGCTATTGCATTGTCTTCAAGTTGACTGCTGAGGAAGAAGCAACAACTGCTAAAAGACATTTGATTATAAATGCTGCTGGATTAATCTAACATATATATTTTGAAAATTTCTTGAATTCAAAATTTAAGTCAAAAGATAAGTTTCTTTGGAGAAGAAGTTCTGCCTTTGTTTCTACAGGAAATCAGAAGCTGTGGATTCATTCTGGGTTAAGGAAAATAAGGTTTGATCATGGAAGACTCCCTGAAAAAAAAAAACTCCAATGGAAACAAATGGCCCAGATGATCCAACTTTCAGAGCACTTCTGTTACAGTTTGCTCTGAATTCTACATCCAGAACAGCCTCAAGACTGCTGACTGAGATGATCCTGGCACAAAGAATATTCCAATCAGTAATTGACTATAATCCTAAATTTTCTTTAGGTACACATAAGATTATCAGAGGTCCCAATCAGCAGGAAGTAGCCTAGAAAACTATGTTCACATCCCCCCAAAAATGGATTGTGGATGTTTGTCTTTGTTTAGAGTGTTGATTTCAAGTTATTATTGATAATGGTAAGAGAAAAAAAAGCTAGGCAAAGGAGATTAGATTCAGAGTTCTTGTTTTGAAAAGAAAAAAGGGGAAGTGTTGTGGGACAATGCCTTGTACCCTGTAAAGATTTGTTACTTGTATTGGTTTAATAAAACACTGATTGGCCAGTAGCCGGGCAGAAAGTATAGGTGGGACAACCAGACTAAGAGAATTCTGGGGAGAGGAAAGGCAGGGTCAGCCACCAGTCAGATGCAGAGGAAGCAAGATGAGAATGCTTCACTGATAAAAGGTACCAAGCCATGTACCTTTGGCTTGTGGCTAACATGGACAAGAATTATGGGTTAATTTAAGTTGTAAGAGCTAGTTAATGATAAATCTGAGCTAATAGGCTAACCAGTTTATAATTGTTATAAACATCTGTGTGTTTCTTTGGGACTGAATGGCTGTGGGACAGGGCAGGACATAAACTCCATTTATAACAATGGGCTACCAAGTTTCTGACACCTCCTTCCATACCTGTCCAGGAATGCACAGCTCAGTGTCTCTTCCAGATTCCACCACCCAGTAATCCTTGCCCACGGAAGGAAAGGTGTCTGCTTTTAAGGCCATCATGCAGCATGCTCTAGAGATTGCTGAGAGGTGTGATAGCTTCTCTGACTTTCAATTTCCCCAGATCCGGGGACTTTCTTTCTCAGATGAAAGTGAAACATAGAAAGAAATGCTTCTGAAATCTGATCTAAAACCTACTGCTTTAACAGGCCCCTGAGAAGCAACCCCCGTCAGTCATTCTATTGACTGTTTTTAAACAAAATGAAGTGATCTCTGTATGATATCCGGAGGAAGAGATTTACTAGGGTTAGCAACAAAAAGAATGGGGACATCCCAGAGAAAAGGGGGGTACAGAAGTAAGAGCAAGTATTTGTTTTTTAAAGTGTCTGTTTAGAATTTTGTGGTTGGAAACACTGAACTGGAGCTGTTTAATCAAGCAGGGAAGGGATACCTCAACCCACCAGGAGCATAAAACTCCAAACCACTGCGCAACGTTTTGGCAAATAACAAAACTGGTAAGTGTGCTGCTATGGCTACTGCATGAAGGGTGAGCCACTGGGGAACAGAGCATCACGTTGTGTGCCTGCACTTTGTTCTCTTCTGTATCTCCAATCTGTAGACCCAGCTTTGCCCACACACTCTCCCCCACTTCAGACTTTTCTCATTGGCATTTTCTGAAACCTTCCCCACCATTGCATCCATAACCTGGATGGAACTGTAGAATACTGCTGCCATGTTAGTTCAAAGTTTACCATGGGTCAGAAGATTTTAACCTGATGTATTGTCAAGTGTAAAAATTTTGCAAAGGTCCTGGTTTGGAATACAGAGATGAAGAAAGGTCTGGAGTGTCTCAGTAAAATGTGAGGTGACAAAACTCTAGGTTCATCTTGATTAAAAACTGACTATCAGCAGCCTATTGTTTAATTTGTTTTTTCCTGAAACTCATCTTTGGGGAAACAAAACCAAAACCAAAACAGATCTACTCTACTTCATACGCTAAATATTCATGGGTTTCTCTAGGCCCTCAACGAAAGTGTGAAGAAAACCAGTAAAAAGCATTCCAAATAAGTTGAATCAACAACACTGTAACTGAATTTCAGAATAAATCAAGATGGGCCTCTCACCATAAAAATCACCAGTAAATTGTGCTGTGTCCGAGCGGAACCTGTTTCTGTTCTTGCAGGATGGAACCTTACGTGATGTTGCCTCACTAGTTTCCAAACTCACGCTCCAGTCAGTTCAGGCTTCTTAGTGCCTCTCTGATTCACATCCAACATGAAGCACTCCTATTAGTTAGCAGCAAGAGCTTTAACATGCCCAGATCTTCCGAAGGCTAAGGCAGTGGCCAGCCAGATGTTCAAGAGGGATATCGCTCTGCAGACTGACCACAGATGCTGTGGTTCTATAGCTGACCGTGGGCAGCTGACCCTGGAAATGGATAGCCACTTCCATTCACACACTGTCGAATGGTAAGACATGATAAAAGGGGTGCTAGGTTCACACCCGTAGGCTTCTCAGCAAACCCTGAAATTGGAAGAGGTTTTTGATCATAGCAAAGCCTGAGTCAAATTGCTTTGAAAGGTATTTTTATTCTGCGGTGACTCCCTCTCTGTATCCACCCTTCTGCTCTCTCTCTGTCCTGGAATGAGTGGGGAAAACAGGTGCAGTCTGTTCCTCTAAAGTTTTATTATTTCTGGGAGCAGGACACTAGGAAACAGGAGATATGGTTTCCCAGAGCCTATTCAGCCTTTAAGTAACCTGGAGAGTTTTGGGCACCTAGACGATAGTGTTTATCTTACTTGCACTAAGTAGAGGCTGTAGTGATATTTCATTTGTATTTTAATAAATAAAGCTTGCCTGAAGTTCAGAGAGTAAAACAGCCCCACTGATCAGCCTTACAGACCAGGCAGTGGTGACGTGTGTCACACTAGTTTGCCACTGAAACCAGGCAGTAGTGGTGCACACCTTTAATCCCAGCACTAGAGAGGATTATAAAACAGGAGGAGACAGCTCTCAGTCTCAGTCTCATTCTGAGTTTCCTGGAGGCAGGATCGCCATTTTGGACTGAGGTAGAGATAAGACCCAGTGGCTGGCTGTTTGCTTTTCTGACCTTCAGGTTGAACCCCAATTTCTGTCTCTGGGTTTTTATTAATTGTTCTACAAGATGTGGCAAAAAGAATGATGTCATGGTGTCCTTTTATGCCTTTCCTTGGTTCCTGTACCGCCTGGTAAATTCTCCCTGTTTTCATTCTTGACCTTTCCAGCTAAGTGGATCTGCGGAGCTTCACCGCACAAAGCTCTTAAAGCCTCACTCCCCCAGCTGGCCAAAATACAACCTAGTAGCTGTAAAGAAAAACGTCCAATGGGAAGGGAATGGGAGTGGGGGCGGGTGGGATGGGTGGAGTATAGGATAGTAGAAGCACGTTAGCCAGCGAGTTATGAAGTGTGGTGTAGCTTTAGAACGGTCAACAGAGCTAATTTCTGGATGGTAAGGGGCAGGAGAGACGTGTGTGGATCCCATTGGGCGAGTTCTTGTTCAGCACACGAGCATTCCAGCTTTGGGAAAAGTCTTCCAAGGTAGGAAAAAAAAAAAAAAGATCTGGGACTTTCCTTTTATGCTGGTTTCCCCAGCCTCTGTTGACCTCAACACTGTCCATTAGGAGACCACGTGATCACAGAAGACTGGGCTGGACCAAGCATGAAAGACCCTGTAGCTTGGCTTTTGCACTTTCAGAGGAGGAATAGAGGTTCCATTCGGAAGATGGCCATGGCTTAGTGAACTTCATAAAACTTCCCAAATGGTTATCTCTATAAAGAACTGATAGATGGGTTTGACTCTGCTTAATGGGGGTCCAAACTTCCCTTTCCGAGTCCCAACATGGGTTCCTATCCAGCCCCTGTGGTAGAAGCCTTTAAGCTGCAGCCCCTAACATGCACTACGGTTTGCCTTCTGCGATTGTTTCGTAGGCGAGCGTCCCACCAGCCGGCAGCTCAGGGTGTTTGAGGGAGCAGAAACGAGTGACTTTTCAGTCCTAACTTGTGCCCTCTGGGGAAGAAAGTGTCTTGGTCAAAATAATATGAACAGCAAGCCTCCTGAAATGAAAATGAACAAACGGCATCCAGTTGGAGCCCAGGCTCCTTCCAGGTCTCCACCCACACAGGAAGAGGCTGTGCTTCCCGGTATGCGCCTGCGCACTGCCTCTGGTGCTTATTTCAAAACCCTGCCTGAGAAAGTTGCGCCGTTGCGCGGGACTCTTGTCACCTAGACAAACAGCTTAGTCTCCCCTTTGAACCCGAGGGAAGCCAGACAGAAATTATGTGAATTTGACAAGCTGGAGAAAGAGGTTGTCCTTGGCTGTTGCTCAGACCCCTGAGGGACATCTTCACATATGGCGCAAGACCTGCCCAGAAGGGAGGCCCTGGGCAGCCCCCAGGCTTCCCAAGGCCTCTTCTTTATTATCAGTTTCTCCCTTGCTTCTGCCTAAGCTATCAGAGTCTGCAGGCAGGTTGGGCAGCTGGGCTGTACTCCCAGCAGCTCCGCTGTGATTAAAAGGGCAACTGGGCCCCTCCACCTTTTCTTCCGGTGCCTGTGTGGGCATCATCTTGAGCAAGAGCTGCCTGGCAGGTGACCGCAGATCCTGTATAATCCTTCTGCCTTGGCCTCCTTTCCCAAGATCCCCTTCCGCTGTTCGCACTCACACTTGCTTTCTAACAGCTAGAAGGGAATTAAAGTGTGCTAAAGGAACAGGCTAGAAGACTCGCAAGTCCAATGGCAAATCCGTTTTCTTTTTGCTTCACGTCCTACTATTATCTGTGGCGGTTGGGGTTTGGCTTTTGTGTCATTAGAAAGGAACGTTGGTGTGCCCCAGAATTTCTTAAGCAGCACTTGCAAAGCAAGTTGTGGATTCCCGCTTCAGAACTCAAGCAGGCAATGTATATTCTTGGGCAGTTACGTGTGAAGAAACGGCGTTTGGAGCAACAAACACTGACGGAACTGCCTACTGTTCTCCAATCCCTGTGGTAGAACCCTGGAGATACAAAGGCGATAAGGCACACCCCGCCACCGCTAAGTCTGAATTTCTCTCAAACTTTCACTTCACGGTAAAACACGAGACTGATGAGCACTTTTTTTCCCTAACAATGATTTTAGGAGAGTGGGATTGTGGGATTGTCCAAGAAGCTCTTTGCATCTATTCATGGCTGGGAGTGTGCACCTGTAGCAACCAGCATATACAGAAGAGGAAGCCTCCTTTATTTACTTAATGATGCATCCTGGGGTCTTTCAATGCACAGGTTTCAGTGTGTTTCAAAGAAATCTCACCTAGAGTCCTACTGTGATGTGTGGAACAAGACCAAGCACTGCAGAGTATTGGACATGCTGTTGATGGGAAGCGGACTCAAAGGAGAATGAGATCTCGGCATCGGTGGCACAGAAAGTTGGAAGGGACTTGGCTGTGGAGGTAATGGGAGATCTCAGTAAGCAGCAATGAAACAGATGTGCAAAAGTACAGGAATGACAGGCTCTATAATGTGTAAAAGCCATATGTCTGTCTTTATGTGTACAGAGAAGTTTTTTAAATAATACTCAATGATATTTGGTTGACGTTGGCAGTGGCATATGAACATGATTAGGCATGGATCTGAAATACAGACCGTTTACCTGAGATCGGGATTGTGGGAGATTCATTTCACTATGCTGATGGAGAGAAGCTATATGGCATGGCGTCGGGCGCAGACACATTTGGATCTTCGTCTTCAGCCATTGACTGACACAGCTGAATGAGAGGCCGGGGTAACACTGTGAGATGGAGAAGACCTAAGCTGTATTCTGCCTGGCTGCATAAGTCAAAATCTACGGTAAACAGGAGTTACTACTTTGAGCCCCTGAATTTCCGGGTCTGTAGTTCATTTCACAGGAATAGATAATAAGATCATCATATCTTAAAGTTCAGGAACTCGTCCCAGAAGCAGAAACCGCTTCTCAAAATTCTTCTTTAGACACGCCACCACCTTAGACAGGAAAACAAAATTCTGGTGAACAAGAATGTGTAGTCAGAGAAACCCTCAGATCAGAGGCTGCTGGGACAGCCAGTTGCTATTGTTGTGGATGAATCACCGGTGAACCCTACACACCCAGGAATCTGAGCACTACAGTTATTTTGCTTCCCCTATCGGCAGCTTTCTTCTTAACAGCCTTGAAGTTGTTTCTTTAGCTGGATGTGCTCGCTTCAGGTGTGCTCATCACTCTTGCCATTAGGGCCAACAGCCTAGAAACTGCCCTTCCCAACATTCTCCCCAGCAGAGGTCTGACAGCCAGATGTGCTTGCCTGTGACTTAGGAGGGCCCAGAGCAAGGGAAACTGGAGCGCTGCTCCCCTGCTGGGGAGGGCAGAAGTGTGGGTTTCGGCAGTTATCAGATTCTGCGCTGACTCCCAGACAGCTCTCTGTGAATCATCCACACCAGTTCAAGAGGCAGATGTGATCAGCAGCAGCAGCTTCCTGAAGTCTCTGCATCTTCGTGTGTCTGAGAGCGAACAGCAGATGTGAAAGCATGTGGCTTCCCCTCACCTTCCTTCCCTGAATTCTCCTGGCTCTTCTACAAGTTTTGGATGCACCCGATTCCTTGTATTAAATTCCTTTTCTAACCCAATAACAAAGTGTGACTTCTGGGTTTCTCTCCTAACATACATGAGGTCTGGATGAAAGGGTGACAAATAATGAAGAAGCATTTTGTTACATGTACACATGCGTACTATTCATTTTTACAAATAACTGGGTGTCCCCTCCTTAAAATTTGGAACAAAAATGCTTGGCATACAGCATAGCAGGCAGCAAATGAGGGATCATAAAGTAGAAAGAAACAAGAGGGAAGTAAAAAGTTCAGTCCAATTGAGATCCTGGGGTCAAGGGAATTTAGTACTAACCAAAGAAAAATGCTATAGGTAAGTTCACTAACATCAGGAAACAAACAAAGGGTGACTAGTTAAATGTGAGCTGTACATAAATAATACTGCAAGTAGAGACTATTCCAGAAAAGATGGTTGTGTCCTAATCCCTGAACCCTACAAATAAATACATGACCATGCTTGGCAAATGGGACTCTTACATGATTACAGACCCGGATCTTGAGACAGGGGGAGTATTCTGAAGTATGTGGGGGAACCCTATGTGGTCACCTGGGTGTTTAAGAAGGGGGAACGTTTGCCAACTACAATCAGAAGAAGAGGTAGCTGAGGAAGGAAGACGTGGGTGGCTCTGAAGATGAAGGAAGAGTCCATGAGGCAAGTATACGGGTGGCCCCAGAAGTTACCAAAGAAAAGAAAATGTGTTATCTCCTGCAACCTCCAAAATGGACTGGACCCCTGCCTGACTCTGTGTTCCCAACCCACTGATGTCTGTGTCAAAATTCTAAATAACAAACTTGTAAGTTAACTTATAAGCCACTAAATGTGGAATGGTTTGTCCCAGGAACAATAGACATCCAAATACAAACAGCTGATAATTTTAGTCTAAATTTGGTCATATGGTATTTGGAATATATACTTAACGAGAATTGCTTCTATTTTAAAGTGGAAATGAACCGAGACCTACTTTTTACCTGGCAGCTTGTCTTATAGAGAAGTGGGTTCCCAGAGTCCTCCCCCATCTCTGTATCCATCCTTCTAACAGTTGGGAGCCCTTCCTTTGTACCAGGCACTGAAACCAACATGATGCCCATTTAATTTTATTGACACCTTCCAAATCCTGTGTGTGGGTATTATCATGTTCATTGTATAAATGTAGTAGTCGAGTCTGAAAATTTAGACCGTTCATGGTCTGACAGGCAACTGTGGAGATTTGCTGGGTCTGTCTGATTTCAGAATCCACTTCGTTATTACCTTGATCTTGTTCTGTTTTCACGGCTAGAGCCCTTAAGGCCTTTGCTATTGCTTCCGCACCCACATACCCTATCTCCCGGACCAGTCATCTCAAGTCTGTCACTCCTCTGTCTGCTGTCATCGAGACTGCTTTCTCAGAGGTCAGTAGGGGCCTCTGAGCTGTTGCCATTTCTTACTCACCATGCTAGTTCCCTTCCCTTCAGCATGGGGAACCTTGACTGTCTTTTTTACTACCACTACATATTGGCTTTCATGTTGGAATTTTGATTCCTCCTCTTCTGCCTCTATGGGTATTCTTTCTGTCTCCTTATCTACTGACTCTGTGTGTGTGTGCTTTTGTGTGTGTGTGTGTGCATGTGTGTGTGTGCTGCTGAAGACTGACTCCATGGCTTTGTGCATCCTAGGATTGCTCCACCATGGACTTCATCCCGCCCTCTCCTCCTGACAAATCTCGAGTGTGGCAGACTTCTGTTCTTCCTCAGTTCTGTGTCTTCAACTCCTCTCATAATCTCATTCACGGCTACAGCTTCAGCTTTATCTCTGCTCAGGATCCCCAGATCAGATGTGAACTGCAGCTTCCTCTGGTCTCATCAGTCGCCATCTTGGTGAGACGCCTGGGAATTGTCACAGAGGTCTGGGCCCCACCTTAAAACAGTGCCATTCAATCTGGGATGGGACTCAAGAGTAAGAGTTTTCTATGGCTGCTCTTCTAAAGTAGCTTGAACTTGGTGGCCTGAAAGAAAACAAACGTATTCTCCTCATAGTTTGTAGGCCAGAATTGTTGAATAGCACTCACTGAGCTTAAATTTAGATTCCACTCTTCTTGGCGGCCATAGTGGAGGGCTTGCCTCTTCCTTGTTTGGGAAACTGTCCTGTCCCTCCTGATCCTTCCTGGCATGTCACATCACCTTTTATTCTCATCCTTCTCTGGTCACATTGTCCTTTCTTTTTCTTGTACACCTGTTTCTTTCTTTCCCAATCCCCTCTACCTTTCTTACTAAGTAAGACATAATTTTTATTCATTCCTGGATAATCCAGTATAATCTCTTCATATAAAGAATAGGAGAAAAATCTTCCTTGTCATTCAGACTTTCACAGCTTCTTGGGATTAAGCTTCAGATATCCATTCTTGTGGTCATTATCGCCTGGCCTGCCAAGTCTCTAGACTCCAATCCAATGCTGAACATCGTTTTTGTTGTTGTTGTTGTTGTTGTTGTTGCTGCTGCTGTTATTTTACAAGGCATCTGTTATAATGGACTCCTGCAGAAATCCCACAGAAGTCCCCCTCTCTTTTCAGAACACATGGCAGCAAGTCCAGTGCACACAGATATGGGGACTCCTGGCCTATCAAATAGGGCCACCTGCTCTTCTGCACCTCCGCTTTGCTTCTTTTTCTTTGTTTATTATTATTATTATTATTACTATTATTATTATTATTACAAATTTTCACCTTCTCCCCTCCTCCCATTTCCCTCCCCCTCCCCACTTTGCTTTTTTCATGTTGATTTTCTTAGAACATGCCTGGTCCTGTGATTGGCATCTTTGCTCAGCGCTGTTTCCATCACGTGTGAGCCATTCCTCACCCTCCTGGGCTTACCTTACACTTGAACAGGCTGCATTGTTTTCCTAAGCTGCTGTGTCCCAGTACCTCCCAGGGTGACTTTTGTGGTAGCAATGGGCTGACTCGTAGCTCTAGAGGCTTGAAACCTGAAGTCAAAGTATCAGCAAGTTGATGGCCTTTCAGGCCTGTCAGGGAAGGGTCTGATATGTCCAAGACCTTGTGCCTTGGCTTTTAGGGGGCTGTTCCCTGCATGGCTCTTCACATCACATTTCTTCTGTGTGTATCCGTCAATGAATTTCCCCTCTTTAAGGAGACAACTTAAGTTGGAGTCAGTACCAACCCTGGTAGACTCATTTTAACTTGGTCATCTTTGAAGAGATGATATCTTTACAGAAGGTCTCATTCTGAGCTCTTAAGGGTTAGGGATTCAATATGTGCAGTTTGGAGGGACATGATTCAGCCCATAACACTAGCTAGTCATGATTATACTTTGTTTCTGAAGTGTTGAGGCCTTTCTGCACTGTAGGCCGAGGGCTCCTCCCTCTTCTGAACAATGCAACTGTATTTATACATTCATTTGAAAAAACGACAAACTTAAAGGTGATGGCATCTCTTTGAACAATACCATGCATATATCCACATCTGTGTAGACACATAGCCATGTGTCCTTCCCAAACAGAGCCTGAGCTTTGGAGAGAGCTGTGTGGCTTATTGATCTTATGACACTCACACTGTCCATGACATATATCTTCAGTAAATATTTATTGATTTACCTACAGAAAATTTGATAGTTTAGTTTAGAAAAGAGAGCAGAAAATATTTAAAAAGCGTAAAAAAACTCTGCTATTTTCTATCATTGGCTGAAAGATACTGTCGATACTTTTATGTGGGGAGGAGCCTGCTTTATGAGTCCGGTTTTTTCATGGAACTCAGGCTGGCTTCACACTTACAATGATCCTTCTGTCTCAGTCTCCTGAGCACTGGGATTACAGCTGTCCTCCCATGACAGGTTCCGGCAGTGCCTTTGTTGGCGAGAATCTGAGAGGATGTTTTCAAGTGACTGTCATGAAATGCCCTGAGCCAGTCAAAGAAGAGGAGGGGAGGAGAAGAAGCAAAGCAGGACCCTAGATGTTCAGACTAGTTACTCTACAAGTGGGGGGAGGCAAGGCCGACAGCATTGCAACATCCCCACCTTTGCTACCTCCAGCCCCAAACGCCAGCGATAGTGTGGGACGGGAGAGGGCTTATCAAGCTCACCCAGCCGTCCTGACTGAGAAACTGCCAACGTCTCGCGTGGCCTTGAATCGCCCTCTTCTCGTTTCCAGTTAGTCTTCTGCTGTCGAGCTCGGAAGCTCTAGTCACTTCTACACCGGCAGTGCGTGGGTTAATGATTAATAAAGGACCGTTTGTGTGGTTAGAGAAGCATTGCCTTCGTAGCCCTGGAGAAGCGTCTCCACGTACATTATAAATTCTGGAATACCTGAGCGCCATCCCTCCAAAGAGGAATGCACCCAAGCCTTCCAGATAGTAACACAGTTGAACCAGCTGCTAACAATAAACCTCCTTTACACGGAAATAGTACAATATTTTAGCACCTGTACTTTGTCTACTTTATGTGGCTCACTGGTTAGTCCCCACTCCTTCCCAATCCAGGTGTCCCATATGCCTCTGCCGCTTTACCACATGCATGTGACATTCCTTTTGTTTTCGCTTCATTTCTTATTATCTTGCCTGAGTCCGGGTCATATCACCCGGCTCTTCCGGGTGCTGATGCTGGGCGAGACTGGAGCCTGCTCAAGCTTTATCCCATAGGTGGGGCTTTCCATGGCTCTTTTAGCTCAGTGACCCTGCCATTCTCGCCCCCTCCCTCGTGGCTCCTAGGACCCAGGAATGGCTACCTCCTCTGCCGCCATTCCTGAGTGCTTACCAAGTATTATGTTAATCTGTTGCTTTCGCTTTGCAGCTGCTATACTCCACAAAGGCAGAGGAATCCTCGGGCCTCAGATGCTTGTCCGAGTGGGCTGCCTTTCCCTCTCAGAACTCTGAAATGTGGGGTCAGGCTTACGGCCTCTAAACTTCTGGAGCAGCTGGGGGTTATTTTTGAAGTAGGGGCATTAAAGAAGCAGCAAGCGCAGTTGTCCAGGCCTTTCCTCCGTGTGGGGCTGTACAGGAGGTCAAAGGTTAAGGGGGAGCTAGACTCTCTGAGTTTGCTTCCCAGGGAAGTGAGCTAGGTTGGCATGAGTCTGACTGATGTACTTTTGCAAAGTTTATTTTATTTGTTCTTCCTTTCCAGCCTCGAAGTTAGTTCCCAAGAGGCTGTGGGTATGGATTACCTCAGTGTCAATCACTAAGCTGTTCAAAGAACTCTTACTATTTGACTTTCAAGAATAAATTCAAGGAGATGGAGAGACAGTTTGGTCATTAAGAGTTCTTGCTCACTGCTCTTCCAGAGGACCTGAATCCAGTTCCTAGTATCCACCTTGGGTGGGTAGTTCACAATCTCCTGTAACTCCAGCGCCAGAGGGGTCACTTAAGTGCACATAGTCATGTGTATAAAGGCAAACTTATACACATAATGAAAAATTATAAAAATAAATCTTAAAAAATAATGTATTTGAGCCAATGACTTTTCTCCAACCTATATTATGTAGGTTGTGGACATTCCTGTTTTTCTAAATGAGGACTCTTATATACAGGCATCATAAACTTTTGTTCGTGGGTAGACATGATACCTCTTTTATGTATCTTTCTATCTTTGCGTGATAATCTGTGTCAACACTATAAGAAGGGAATTGCGATCCATATTATAACATTATGTTTTATGACTGTGAGCAAGAACTAAAAAATCAACAACTAGAGAAACTTAAATGAGAGCCTTTAAGAAAAAAAAAATCTATTTTGTGAACCAGTACAGGAAATGCTGTCTCAACAGGTTTTTCATGTTTGTGTTTCTTCTTCGAGAATTTCATACAATATATTTTTTACCATATTCTTTCTCTTTCCCAACTCCTTACAGATCCCTCCACCTTCCTACCTGCCAACGTGATGTTCTTTCCTTAAAATACAAACCGAAATGAAATAATGCCACGAACACAAAAACAAACAACCAAACATGGAGTCTAACTTGTGTGTCACCCCCCCCCCACTCCTGAGCATGGGGCCTGTCATTGAATGTGGTCACTATATCCAGTGTCATTCTCTTGAATGAAAACGGACTTTTCCTCTCCCAGCAGCTATCAGTTTCCAGTAGCTTCTAGCGCAGAGGTGGGACTTCGTGCCAACTTCCCGGGAGGTTCTTGTGCTAGGATTTTGTCTGGCTTGAATCTATGAAGGTCTTGCGCATGCTGTCCCAGTCTCTGAGTTTGTGTGTACTGCAGTCCCACTATGTCTGAGAAGTGCTGCTCTGAAAGCCCACTCGCTGCCTGTTAGCAAGAACCTTGTCTTCTCTCGTTATTCTTAGCTGCAATGGAGGCCGGGGAGCAACAGCGTCATCTGCCTCGGGCTGTGGATGGACCTGGACAGTAGAGGACAACCAGCAATCATTGTCACAAAGATTCTGATAGGAGTAGATTTGGGGAAACACCTGGTAGGATAAAGAATGGCCGTTCCAAATATGCAAACTGAAGGCCATTCTAGAAGCACAAATCTCTATTCAGATCTATAAGCAAAGATAAATTTACATATGTCAATAGCTATGTAATATCATTACTCATTAAGTCAACTACGCAAAGTAAGGAATGTGTGGGGAAAATGTTAAAGCTGTTACGGTAACTAGTGTGACTTGTTCTGGAACGTTTCCTTCAGGATTGCTGTAATCCTCAGAGCTGTTAATTTGGCCAGTGACCGTGAGTTGATCAACCAGAAGCTTAGACGTTGAAATGGCTGAAGTCTCCAGACTACCGGTTGCCAGAACAATTTCATCTTACTGCTAGGAATCAGCGCCCCATGGGCGACCAAGGCTGCATCTCCTCTTACAGAGAAGTAGGCTACATGACTGACCACTGAAGTCCCAGCAAACTGTTAAGCTTGGTGTGTGTGTAGGAGCACAGAGGCCCAGACAGGCACAGGCTGGAGATCTAGCCACAGATGTTAGAAATGAGGCACCAGATGAAGTCAGGCACATAAGGAAGAATTTGGGGTACTCTAATAGACCATCTGTCTCTTGAAGGATTTCGGTTCCACGCAACAGAAGTCAAAGTCTACTTTTGGATTTTTTTAGGCTAACTTTTAAAATGAGATATAACATATTATACATTTTATTCTTTTTTATTATGTACAAAGTAAGTAATTTTGAAGAAAATGGTATCGTTTATTTTGCCTGGAGGTCCTGAACCATCACCGTCTACGGCCTCTAGCTTGATTAGCAACCCATGTACTAGAAAGATGTCTATTGGTGGCGGTTTGAAAATATGTTAACTTTTAAAAAGAGTTATTTCAAAAGTTAAGACATTTAAAGCATTTGAAATTGGGGGCTGCAGGGATGACTCAGTGGTTAAGAATTTTTGATGCCTTTGTGAAGACTCTGAGTTCAGTTCTCAGCATCCATGCGGTTCACAAACTGCTTGTAACATTTCAAGCAGGGAATCCAACTCCTTTCTCAGGTCTCCCTGGGTACCAGACATTTGCATGATGCACAGACATTCCTGCAAACAAAACACTCAAACACACAAAATAAAAATCAAATTTAAATTAAAAATTTTTGATTGTATTATCTAAAACATAAAATGAAATATCAATCAAGAAAACTCTTTTATCAAAATCCCTTTTTCTTCAATTATTCGTAATGCCTTTTGGGTTTTTTGGTAAAACTGAGTTTCCTGTGTTGCACTTGGAAATAGCCTAAAGTTATTTTTCACTAACCATTCTAAGACAGGGTGATTATTAATGAGGCTATTTAATTTCATTTGAAAACCAAAAGAATAGGAAGCTGTCACGTAGTCACAAATATCTTCTCAGAGATGCAGAACTTTTTTCCCATCCCAGATATTAAGTGAGTGTCTGCTAATTGACAACCCACTCAGTTTTCCTGTCCAGTTTCATATTTGTCCTTTTTATACTTTCAGCAGCGCTGAAGAACAAAATCTCCTCTATCATGCACCGTGGAGGAAGTATCTGTAGCTCAAATGCGAGGTATGTGGAAAAGGACAAAGGACAGCCTATGCTGTCTAGCTCAAAGACCTTAATCATGGCCGCAGACACCAAGCGAGCATGGTATTGGGTACCACGTTCCCGGGGCAATTCAGAGAGAGGTACAAGGAGATTTGAAAATATGGCAACTTGTATTCCCAGGATTACATTTTGATATGAAGTTTTAGATGGCCCAACAACCCAATAAAACGGCTGTTAAAATTGAGCTTTTTTAAAAAAAAAAATTAGAATTCTAATAATACCTTATCAAAAGCAGACCTAAGTTCTTTCAATCATATGAGTACAGCTCCCTAACATTAGATATAATTATTTAGTTCTGGGCAAAACAAAACCCTTTTATCAAATTAGTCTTGAAGGTTTGAATTAATGGAATTTATGGAATTTTTCTCCATCTAATTTTTTGTTGTTTACAATTTAGTAAGTAGTTCTCTTGATGACCTCAAATATGTAAGGCTGCTTGGTAATATTTGAAGGATCAAGGTAATTGGATCTTTCTTCACTGGTCGGTAGTCTTCAGTGACGATCCGGAGTTCCGTGTATTGTCAATCTAGCAAGACCACATTTATGTCTTAATTTGGGGGGATTGTTGGTAGACTGGACCTACTTTTCCCAAGCAACCTTGCCGCTTGTGTCACAATGTCCAGCCCACTCACCTTTACTTCAGAGCCTCTACCTTTAGTGACAACACTCAGTGCTGTATACAACAAGGATAGATTCTTTTTTGTACCGTGTATTGGCAGGCAAAGATGGCGCTCAGCTCAGGACATATTACCTGGCTGTTAGTGGAATGTTGGCCTGCTGAACCATTTATATTTAGGTGGGTTTCTTGTATAAGCATCCTCTTCCATGCCTTTTTCTCTTTCCTGTCTGAATAATTTCTCACAAGTCTGCTCTTCCCTGGGCATAGACTTTGGGAGAAGGACTTCTCAGTTCCCTACCTTGACTTACTGTTTTTGCTCAATCATATTGATAAGAGCTTTTGCTCTGGACTATCCTCCCCTGTTTAGCAAATAGGCAGGTACTGATTGCCGTCTAGTCTTCCCCATCATTGTTTGGTGTCTTTTGTGCATCTTGATAGTCCTTTTCATTTGGATGCTTAAGGTAGAACCTAGTGTTCAGGCCCATCATTGTGTTTCTGATACCATCTTTCAATGTTCATGAGCCTCTCTGGCATTCTCTTTTTCTCGTGGTTATCCAAAGTATGTGATATCCATAGCGTTCATAATACAATTCAATATGTCTATAGCATGGTAGCAGTCACAGAGTCCCTGGGTGCAGCCTTTGGAGTCTGAGAAGTGAACAGCTTTTGGGTTGCAGTGACTTTCTACATTCACAAACACAAAATGCGTTTTAATTATTAAGATTTTCACCTTAGCATGCAAAACAATAGGTTTCATTGTGACATTTTCATATGTATGTGTCATTATACTTTGTTAGAAGTTGCTCTCCACCCCCAGGGACCTTCCCCGTGTCCCCACCCACTCTGGCTGGCTCCTCCCCTTCTTAGGTTCTGCTTTTCTGCCTTCGGTCACTTGTTCTCCCTTACCCTGCTTCCTATGTTCCTAAAGATCACTTCCTCCCCTCCCATAATTCCTGTTAATTCTCTCTCTCTCTCTCTCTCTCTCTCTCTCTCTTTCTCTCTCTCTCTCTCTCTTTCCAATGTGCAATTTAAAATCTAGGTTCTACACATACAAAAAAAAAAAGCCTGCATTATTTGTCTTCCTGACTCTGGCATATTTAATGATTTCTAGTTCCACCAATTTTTCTACAAAGTCATGATTTCATTTTCTTTTTGACTGCATAAAATTTCATTATGGTCAAGCATGGTGCTACACACCATTAATCCTAGCACTTAGGATGCAGAGGCGTATATAACTCTAGCAGTTTAAGGCCAGCCTGATCTATATAGTGTGTTCTAGGCCAGCCAGGACCATATAATGAGACCCTGTTTCAAAAAATTTTATTTACCCTGGCATCTATTGATAGTATCTAACATGCTGCCATTTTCTGGATATGGTGAATGCTATAACTATAAGAATGTGTGCAGGTATCTCTGTGATATACTCCAGGCTTAGCCCAAGAGAGAGAATGATTTCCGCATGACGTCATAAGTTTACATTCCCATCTATGTGAATAAATATTCCTCTTTTTCCACGTCCTCATCAGCATTTGCTGTATTTGTTTTCTTGACCTTAACCTTCTAACTGGGGTGAGATGGAATCAAACAGCAATTTTAGTTTATATTTCCCTAAGAGCTAAAGATGCTTGTATTTATTGGTCATTTGTTTTTCTTCTTTCAAGAATTGTCTCTTTAGTTTGTTGACCTACTTGCTGATTTGATAAATTGCGGGTTTGGTATTTAACTTTTGCAGCTCTTAATATAGTCTAAATACTAATTTCCTGTCTAACAAAGATCTCTCCCCATTTAATTGTTTTAACTTTTGTATTTCTTTGAAATTCAGAGATATATTGCAAATGTATACATATGCTTAGAATTTGTAAAAATTTAAGATGACAAAATATTTTTCAACACTGAAAATATTGCAGTTTTTTTCCTTTTAGGGGGACTATGTAACAAGTTTGCAAAACACAGAATATATTTTTTAGTTTTCCTGTCCACATTTTAGTATCATTTTCCACCTGAATCTTTAGTTCCCATTGTCCCCTTCCCAGTTTCCGGTGTCCCCCAGTTGAGTCCAACCATTTCAAACCTCATTTAATTCAGTCAGTGTTCCAGGAGGATGCAGGCCCTACCTGAACATACTGAATATCAGAAGGCAGGCTGGCTGGTCTTAACAGTCAGCTTGATACAGCCTAGAAGCGCACGGAAAAAGAGACTTATTGAGAAATTCTCTCAATCACCTTGGCCTATGGGTATGTTGGTGGAAAATGTAAGAATACCCAGCCCATTGTGGGCATCACCAGTCCCTAGGTAGGGGGCCGTGAGCAAGTTTAAGAGAGGAAGCGTCCAGCTGACAACAAACAGGGATGCCTTTATTTTCTCTCTCCTCTTGACTCTGCAGTGATATGGCTTCCTGCCTTGACTTCCCCGAAACGACGGACTTTAATTGGGACTTATAAGACAAATAAATACTTTCTTCCCTATGCTGCTATTTTTGTCAGGGTGTCTTATCATAGCAACAGAAATCAACCTGTGATGGTAAGTTATGTTTTAAAGCATGGACTTCCATTCAACATCAGATCAGCAAAGATCGAGAGAGCCAGCCTGGATCCAGTTTCACAAAGCTATTCACCGATAGATGGCATTGGAAATATCATTGAAGAAATTGAGATATGAGGATTCCTTTGAAACTTAACCAAAAGCATGTGTGTGTGTGTGTGTGTGTGTGTGTGTGTGTGCAGATTTATTTACTACCAATAGCTTAGTCCCTTCACATTCTTTGGATGCATATATCCCTGTTATACTGTCCCCAAGGACATGTCCCCTGTATGCACATACTTACACCAGAGTTCCTCGGGAAGTAAGGCATTTACAAAATGTATAAGATGCTCAATTAGCAGAAGAAACAAAACAAAGCTAAGGCAAAACTGAGGAAAATTATTCTCTGTAGGATGGAGTAAAATGTTTTCTAAGGACTGGTCTGGGGTTATGAAATTGTGTTTCTCGAGCACACATTCAGCTGGTGGTCAGCTTTCCATTCTGTCTCGTTGTGTTTACACCCCTATGTAACTCGACCTTGAGCTCAGCACTGGAGTGAAATGCCTGAGCCATCCCTTCCTCTGGAGAGAGACCTGTATCTTTCAGGTCATGGGCTGCAGAGCCAACGTGAAAGGGCACGGATACCCCTAGACCTCATCTGTGGTGAAACTGTTACAGTTTGACCCCAGGAAAGATGGTTCATGTTAGGCCATTTGGGAGGATGCTTAGCTGACACCAGGCCAGTGGAGTAAGTGATGTGTGGCCCATGACTTAGTATTGCTTGAGGTCTGTGGGGAGGAAAACAGAATGTTCATCTGTGTACCTTCAAAGACATTCTCAAGACATCATCAAATAAATCTGCAGGCGAGCAATTTGTGTTCCCAGAGGTCTTGTGAGGAGGGATTGAGTGAGTGGCCTTCTGAGATGTTCAGAAAACCAAGGTCAGGCTGGGTACTTCAGAGGTCAGGAGAGGGGCTACCCCTTCTCTCATAAGCTGGCTCAACTCTGTAATTTTACTTTGTTTCTTCCTTTCTTGGGTCTTGGGTTACCTTTTAAGGAAAAATATGGAGCCAAGCATAATAGCTCATATCGATAATCCTAACATCTGGGAGACTGAGGCAGGGGGATTACTGTGAGGTTAAGGACAACACTGGCCACATAACGAATTCCCTGCCAGCCTCGGCCACAGAATTAGAACCTGATCATTGTTGTGGTCCATGGGCATCATAGCCAGGTAGGACTGCTGGCTGCCTTGCTCATTTGGAAGCTTGTAAGGTGGTGCCTGGTACCATGAGAGCCAGTCCCGAAAACATATATACAAGATACAAGTAACATTTTACAGCCTGAGCAGGTTGTATTTAGGTATGCAAGTGCTTATATATGTATGTATTTAGTACCAATTAATGAAAAAAAAGACTGAATTTAAAAGAGAGAAAAGAAGATTATATGGGAGGGTTTAGAGGGAGTAAGGGAAGGGAGGATGATGTAATTATAATATCAAAAAGTAAAAGAAATAGTAAAGAGGAAAGGAAACAGCTATTTCTTTTGCTAATTTGGGCTGGGTTCAACTGAGTGCTGCTTCTAACTTTTGTAAGGCCCCCTCACAAGCCTGCAGTCGGGAAGAAGTTGCACGCTATCTCTGTGGTGACTTGTGAGTTTCTCATCCATCAGACCGAACAGTATGGCCTTAATCACATGGTGGTTTCAAGGGTAAGTTTTAAAAAATAAAAATAAAAAAACCCACAAACCTTTTTTGATTTGATTCAGAACTCGCATAGTTATTTCCTGGCCAAACGAGGTCACAAGCCCCACCCAGATGTGTAGGAATGAGAATTAGACTACAACCCTTTCTGGAAAGGGGTGAGAAGGCCCAGGCCATGTGTGTGAGGAAGCAAAGAATTCGTATCTATTTGAGTAATTCACCGCAATAACGAAGTATTAATTGTGTCATTTATTTCTTTGCGTTTGGTTTCATGGGACAATAACTTCAAGATAACTTCAAGGTGATTTAGAGCAAACCCAAGCACATTGATACAGGAATATATGCATCAAATTTTACATGTTAAATAGAAGGAATTAGAGGAGGGTCCAATCAGAATTCATGTAATCAAAGTAATACCAGTAATATTAATTAAAAGTAATACTGGGTGACAGTGGTGTCTTCGTGGAGTTTTGAAACTCCATGGAGTGCCAAGCTTAAGCCCACAGCCCACTAAATAAAACGATGATACCCAATAAAGCAATGGAACTTCTAAAACATTACCAGCATAGCATGTTTTGGGGCTCAGTCAAGAGGTAAGGAGCCGTGATGGAACCACGTGGGTCCCTCCATTGATTCTTTCACTGCAGCTATGTGAGCAACTCAGCTGAGGCTTTTACGGTGCAGAAAAAATGGACCCCTTGAGACATCCCAGTTGAGGTACTGAGAATCACATTGAGTCTGTGTGCAGACTTTCTTCTCTAAATGGGGCTGATTATGCTTCTTACGTGCAATGTAAATCCCAAGAAAGTCGGGGTTTTTTGGTTTTTTTTTTGTTTGTTTGTTTTTATCATCATTGCTGTTACTTCCATCCTTCTAATACTTCATCCAAATGTGGATAAGTAACTCTCCTGGAGGTTCTGCTTCTCAGATATATTTCTTGACCTCTTCTATATCTGTGACCAATAGCTACTCATGGAGTTGAGGATTGTTCTGGTCTTGTGTAAGGTTTCCAAGATCAGTTTCCAAATTCAGTGCGATGGGATTGCCCAAGGGATGGAGGAAAGTTTCCAGCAAGCCCCCTGGCTTCTCAGGTCTCTAGGGGTTTCTAGCACCTATGTGTACTAAAAGTGTGTTGAACTTTGGAAGTATGGGTGAGATGTCCCTTTGCTCAACTAATCCAGAGGCCTGCGGCAGCCCCTGTTACTTGTGATAACAGAGGCCGCACAGGTAGAAGACACTTGATTGAGACATTCATCTACTTTTCCTCTGTTTTTAGTTGGATTCTAGATCTGGGAATGTGAAGAGAAGATACCTGTTCTGTCTGTTATGGAAACCACCCATAATCTCCATTGCACAGATCACTGCCTCCATCTGTGCACACCAAGGAAAATGGCTAGTAAGCAATTAAGTAAGAGCACACAGCTGCATTCAGATAATGATGTGTGATATGTTTAAACCAGTGGGGTATTGTGCCAGAGTGACTGAGAGGGAAAGGAGGTGGCCACTACTTCAACGGGGCATCATGGGAGACCTCACTGGGAAAGGGAATTTAGCTTGAACTGAGACCTAATCAGCTCCTCAAGAAGCTAACCCTTACAGGCAGAAGGAAAGACAATGCAAAGATCCTGAGGCAAGGACATGCTGAAGACTTGTAAGAAACTAGAAAGACAGTGTGCATGGCCACTGTGAGGGAAGAGGGAAAGGATGAAATGGATAGGAACAGTTGGAAAAAGTTTTTAAGAATTGGAAGATTTAAGCAAGAGAATAAAATAAATTAGTTTTATACTGATAAGCATAATTTTGGGGGAAAGCATTCTTGGATCCCATTTAGTGATCTTTTATTTTATCAAGGGAACTGTGTGTCTTCCTATGTTCTGACAGGAAGATAATGGAGATAAGCAAGCACCACTTCCAGCCAAAACGCAGGATGACAAGGATTCCAAGGGTGCAATGTGATGACTATTTTTATGACTACAGAGAATATTGATGTTGTTTTGTTTTAGGAATATCTTCGGGAGAGGTATTGAGATAAGGAAGACATTTTTAGAAAACCCAAAGAGAAGGGTTTGGTGAGGAAAAGAAAAAGCTAGTGTGATTGCTAACTAGTAACTCTGAGTCTCAGATCTTTGGATTTGAAGATAGCTCTTTTGTTACAACTTCTATTGGTAACTGACTCCTTGGTTCAAAGCCACAGGCTTCTCTCTAATCGAATTCAATCTCTAATATGCTCTGCTTACTCAGGTGACCGGAACACTTAAATGAAACATGCCTTGGAATGTACTGGAACAGAAGGCTTGAGTCTAAATGACAACAGAGTCCACTCTGTCATGGGGTGAGTCCAGCCTTGTGTTGCTGTCCAAGGATATATCTGTACTTATATTTGATGGGACACTTTGGAAGCAGTCCCTGTGCTCTCGGACTGCTCTGTTTATTAAGAAATCGAGGTGTGATTTATTAGATTTATGTATTGACTTTTAGACTTAGGAAGTAGTTGTGATGTATTTGTGCTGTTTCTGTGCAGCGGAGTAAGGTGTTCTGTTGCAAAATGGGCCATCTCTGAAAATAGGAATATTCACTGAGAGTTACTATGGGGGAAAATCAAACCTTTAAGTACCACCTACTCAAGAAAATTTCCAGGAACTAAACCGCAGACAGCACTAGGCATTGTCCAGAAGTGGAGAAACAAGAACATCTGCTGTTTGGAACTCAAAATGGTGGTCACTTTGGACGGTAGTTTGGCAACGTCTTGGAACTCTTGCTTTTCCCAGAGGAAACGAAGTTATACTCCTTGGTAACTTAGAGCCACACGAAAACCTCCGCGAGGTGTTTAGAGCAGCTTCGCTTGTAATTGCTAAAACCTGAAGGAACCAAGAGTGAAAATCGGATACACAGTGCTTTATCTAGACAAGAGAGTGTTTTCAGGACTATATAGATGTGTTTAGTCAATCCTCGAAATTAAGAACCGTGGCGGTATCTTAATGCATATTTCTAAGTAAAATAAACCAATGTGAAAATTCAGCATACTGTGTGGGTCCTGCTCTGTGACATTCTGGCCACAGTGAACTGTGGAGATGATTAAAAAGATCAATGGTTGTCAGGGGTTCAGGAAGAAAAAGTTATGTAAGTGCAATTTGTTGGAAATTAAGAAGAAGTTCTCAAATGAAGATCTGGAGAGATGAGTCAGCATCAAAAGTACTTGCTATGCAACTGTGGGCATCTGAGTTTGGATCCCAGCATCTACATGAAAAACTGGATATAGTCTCATGCATGCCGGTAACCTATGCCCATAACCCCAGTATTGTGTGGGGCAGAGACAAGAGGGTCCTAGAACTTGGTGGCCATTGGTCTTCCAGGCTCAGGGAGAGACCTTGCCTCATAGGAATAAGTCAGAGAGTGATAGAGGACATTCAGTGTCTTCCTCTAGCCTTCATGGGTGCAGGCAGGCACGTGTACCTACATACACAAATCCCCAAAGAACACACACACAAAAGTTCCAAGGTGACATATAACCAGAGTCCTGTGAATAAAAGGAGTTTGGCGATGTATCTGACCAGGTAACAGGGATGCAAGTACATTGGAGGGGAGAGCACGCTGAGTAGAAGGGACAAAGACACGAACAGCAACTGCATTGTGACTTAGAATAGTAATAGAGTATAAGGAGCTGATGACAGCGCAGGTTTGGAAAAAGTTAACCAAATATTAATATCTTAGCTTTAAAATTTCTAGTCACTTCAGAGTCTGATATCTGGGTGTCTGTGTGGTCTGTCTGTGTCCCACAAGCATCAGTGTTTGGAAGCTCGGTCCCCGTAATGGTGATGCTATGAAGCAATGGATCCTTGAGGGGTAGCGTTTGTCACTTGTCACGTGTAACTAAGTAAGTGGGGATGCTGCTCTCAGGAGGACCTAACAGATGGGCTCCCGAAGTGAGTCAGTTCCTGTAGGTCTGGGTTGTTATAGAAGAGCCTGTCCCCAAGCCTTTCTGGCTCTCTGTGTCATTCTGGACTCATCTCTGTTTTGTCTACAGTGGTGACCAAGACGGCAGAGGCGCAAGCTGTTCCTCCATTTCAGGCCCAAACTGAGATAACAGGACAGAGGTGGGTGATGCTGAGCCAGATGGAGGGCACAGATACAAGATAGGAGAGCATATTTGCCACACATGTCTAACCACAGGGAGTGAGCCATCTCTGGGGGCATTTTATAATCATCTGCCTTCTGCCAGTAAGAGATGGGACTCAGTGAAGCCTTGTTCCTTCAGACGTAAGCAGCTATATGACCACAAGGTGACCGTGAATATTGATGATCTAAATGATACCCAGGCCTCAGCCTGCTAACAAAGTCAGAACTTAAGTTAAAAACATTTAAGTTACCCCTCGAGTTCCTAGATAACCCTGTGAGTTCATAAACCAGAGTTAATCTCTCTGTGTACTCCCGTAATGTTTGATATTTAGATCCTGCCATATTTAACTTGGAATGCTAAAATGTAAGCCCACTGAAAGCAGATCTCTAATCTTTTTCAGCCCTCATACTGTTTGGTAAGACAGATGAGCAGTTCATATTACACCCAAGACTAGCTCTGTGATTTGCAGAGTTTAATACAGAATAAACATGTAGCATCTATATTCAAAATACAACATACAGAGCTTTTTTTCTTAAAGGATGCCTTATTACTTTAAAAATAAACAGTATTAATAGTGATGAATAAGAAACAACATGCTTATACATTGGGAAAACAAAGTTGGTCCCATAATTTTATGTAATTAACACAAACAAGTTGATGTCTTTTGATTGTTCACAAGATACATTTTGCCTCAATTTCTTGCAAATTTGTTAAGCTACTAAATTTATACTTTTAGCAACTTCATTCTTATATACAAAATGATGCTAGTTATGACATATTTAAGACTGAAAATAATTTTAAATTTTGAGAGAAACCTGCTAATACAGTTGTTATTATATTTAAGAGCATTTTATATTCTGTGATTGCATTAGGATAGATTTCTGATAATTTCAAAATATAATTTTTCATCACATCTAGAACTAAAGACTTTTAAAACGGTTTTTCTAAAAGATTCAATTTTTTCATTCAAATCAATTTTGTGAAAATCTAAGTTTAGTTAATATGTGTATTATACAGTGACCTTTTAATGTTTCTTTGCTATTCCGTGTAAGATTATATAGATTGTACAAGAAATCCAAGTGACATTGCAATTTTTCTATGAGTCAAAACCCATGTTTATACATCCTACTATCATATTTTTAGTTGCAAGGAAAATTTTAAGTTAGAATGATGTTCCTCCTTAGTAATTGGTTCACTTAAAGCTCCAAGTGAAGGTAGTGGAAGATGCTTGCCTTCCATTCGAGATCACAGCATTTCTGTCGTATTTCTAAGCTTGCGTGTATCAGAAACATTTCAGGAAATTGCAAAGCTAGCAATTCTGCTGGTTATGATGGTACAGGCCAGTTTTGCAAGCAATCAGAACTGTGAACTTGAGGCTAGGCCTGACTGCATGAGACTCTGTCTCAGGAAACCAAGGGCTTGGGATGGAGCCTAGTCATGAGGACTTACCTACCATGGAGTGGGCCAGGAGCTTGGCCCTTGTGCTAGAGAACAAAACCACTACAGATGCTGAAACTCATGCTCCATCTTGGATTCCCATGACCCCTTTGTCTTGCAATGGCTTACTTTCAAAGCTTACTTCATGAGTGCTTCAGTTCCTGCTACAGAGCTCAAGCAGGAGAGTTCCTCTGTGCAGACACTGCCCAGTCAGGCTCTAGGGACAGAAGGCAAGCTGGCCTCACACTGCTGGTCTTGGCCTTGCCGCCAGATAGAGCACCTCCTTTTCCAGGTGGCCACCGCTACTGTTGCCAGCACGCCGCTGAGCCCGGACTATTCCCAGCCAAGCCCTCAGGGCAATGGTTTCCTGCACCCCTCACCATGAGGAAACTGCTCACATGTGCTAGGTGATAGGCCAGTGGCTAGAGGAGCTGCTTGCTGTGACCAGAACTGCTGCTTCTGGGCCACAGTGATGTGGACTGTCATGCTGGTCAGTAAAGAAGGTTTATTGAGCAGAAAAGTCTTTTCCCATGACTCCTCTAGGAGTCTGTACTACAGGGTGACACCAGACCATCGGAGCCATATGTGGTCTCCTGAATGCAAAGTCTTATGCAAATGCCAACCATTTTGATCACAACCATTGTCAGAAGTTCACAAGCATGTTGTACCTTGAGTCTCAGAACACACATACACACATACACACACACATACACACATACACACACACCTCTATACGACCAGAATGAATTTCCTGAAATACCACCTATAATTAATTAGCGCATAATCAGAGAGGCCCTCTGATATTTCCCTCTCAGTTCTTTCAAGCTGCACACAATCCGTGCAATCAGAGTCACAACCTGGTAATCAGTTGTGCCTCTGCGGTTCAGGGCAAATCGGTGGCTCAATGGCAATAATCGTCTGCAGGTTTTGCCCTTTCCAACTTTGAAATCTAGTCTATTATCTAACTGGACAATCTTCCTCAAAGGTAGCTGATGAAAAGGACGGTTGTTAAATAGAAGTGAAGTGTTCTCTGAGGTGCCTCACTGCCTAGCTGAACATTTTTATCGGTGACTTAAAGAAGAAAAAAAAACACGCTCTGTTCCCATCCATCACACCGCTGAGCTCAGTGTCTGAGCCGAGTCCTGCTTGCTGGCTGCAGTGGCTGGAAATGAAATCGGGTGGGTTGACATGTGTGAGTTGGTCTGATGAGATCGTGGGCTACGGCAGCAGTCGGTTTCCAGAGCTACGGAGATGCACTCAATGGGGAGACAGACAAGTCAGGCCCTGTCTCGGGAGCTGGGAGAGCCATGTCCCGTGTATTAATTGTAAATACAGTCAAAATGGAGCACCAGATAGACTGCTTCTGCTTATTGCTGACACACACAATGCTGACCAGGACAATAAATGACAAAATTTGGTTAGACAACTCGGTTAAGAGCTCAGAAGGACTCATCTACAAAGACTCCTCTTTATTTTAGCTCTTCCATGTTTTTTTTTTTTTCAACTCTATCTTACAGCCGTTTTCCTCATTCTGATGGTTAATTTTTACACGGCAACTAAGACACTGGTACCTGGACATTTAGTAAACATTTTTTTCCATGTGAGCTTTTCTTTTTGTCTGAAATTACACTGTGTATACTGAGCAGAGAATTTACCCTCTCTGACATGGGTAGGCATAGCCAGCTAGTTGGAAACCCAGATAGAACAAAAGGCTGTAGCAAGCTTTTTCATTGGCTGCCAGCTCACAAATAACAACAAGGAAACTTATTAATTATGAAAGCTTGGCCTTAGCTTAGTCTTGTCTCAACTAGCTGTTGTAACTTAAATTAACCTGTTTCTCTTTAATCCAAGTTTTGTCATGTAATGTTACCTCTCTCGCCTCTTGCACCTCCTGTTTCCTCTGTCCGACTGGCGACTCTGCCTTTCTTTTTCCCAGGGTTCTCTCTCTACCCGGAAGTCCCACCTACACCTTCTGCCTAGCTATTGACTGGTCAGCTTTTTATTACACCAATCACAGCAATTCACCTCCATGCAGTGTGCAAATATCACACAACAAAAGGCCTGGCCCTAACCCAAGTAAGGAAGAATTCTCTCCCCTGATCCCTTCAAATAGAGGCTCCCACTTCTCCTGCAGTCTTTGGATGGGAACTCCAGCGACTTACCTTGCAGACTTAAGATTTGCCAGTCTTCATACTCAGATGAGCCAACTTCTCATAATCTCTCACTGCCTCTAGGAATGTATCAATACACATCCTACTAACTTTGTCTGTCTGTGGGATTTCACTGAGATACGGTTATATGGTTATAAAGGAGTTTCGACTAAACTTATTTTAATTGTCCTGTCATTAAAAATGAAAAACTATGTAACTATTGGAGCTGTGTGGAAAAATTGTGATAAGCAAAAAAGGTGGAAAGGAAGAGGGCCAGAATGACTACGTGAAGGAAGCCAAAGGGAAAAAAAAGAAAGCAAATTAATAACCCTACCAACTGTAGTTAATTCCTTTGAGAACCTTGGCAGGGAAACTTCTCAAGCTTTGTCTGCATGAATACATTTGTATATGTGTTTACTATTGTGTAATGGAACTCTGTATTTGAGAACAGTTTTTTCCACCATATCTTCAACCTGTACCAGTATCAATAAATCTACAAAGCATACATCTTTTATGATGCAATAGTATTCTGTAATTTATTGTCCAATTTTGTTGAAACTTAAATTATCTTAAATATTTCAGATGTATAAGAAATCTGATGCGTAACTATTATTTACATCAGAGAAAATCCTGGTGGAATATCTTGGGCAGGAGAAATGCACATTTTTATACATGTTGCTCCTTTTGGAAAAGGTGTGAATTGCCTTCTAGAAGGAATGCCTGAATTTGCACTTCTATTATGGCGTGGTGATTTGACTGAGAAATGCTTCCTATAGTCCCAGGCATGCACACACTTGGTTCCCAGTTGGTGGTGTTGTCTGGGGGTGGAGAGGTTTAAGAGGTACAGCCTTGCTAAAGGAAAAGTCTAACTGGGGTAGGCTTGAGCTTTGAGAGTCAAAAGCCTCAACTGCTTCTAGTTCGCTCTCTCTACTACATGCTTGCAGTAAAGGGTGTGAGCTCTCAGCCTGCCTGCCTGCTACTTGTCGCCATGCTTCTCACTGTGAGACAGTCTTATCCCTCTGGAATCGTAAGCCCAAATAAACTATTTCTTCTATAGGTTGCCTTGGTTGTGGTGTTCTCTCACAACTACAGAAAAGTAACTGCTACTTTTTGAACATGTGACATTTATAGAAAATAAAAACTAAGAAAAGATAGAACAAGACAAAACTTTCCCCCAGATCTCTACAATTTTCTCTTAAAACCACTCGGATGGCGGTGAATAGGGCTAGAGATCATCCTTGGTTTACAAAGACTGGACTTCTAATTTTTCAACTTCACGATGGTGTGAAAGTGATAAGCATTCAACAGAAACCAAGTCAAACTTGTTGATGTTGGCCTTTGTCCTTTCCCACACCTCTCTTGTGAGGCAGGATGGCAACGAGAGGGACAGCTCCCAGTCTATCTCTCTTCACCATCACAAGAGACGACACAACCCCTGCTGCATACTCTGCTGCTAACTGTGATGCTCAAATAGGTATGGCCAATGCATTGTCGAGTTACCAGATTTTCCTTTGTACAATGAGTTTATAAAATGTCCCTCTATCATAAGTTGCTTTGGTTACTTTTCTCATTATTGTCACGAAACACCTGGCATCTGAAGAAAGGAAGGGAGGGTTTGCTTTGGCTCATAATTTGAGGCAGGGAAGGCTTGGCAGCAGGGATAACTGCTGGTAACAGTACATCACAGTGGGGAGCCGTGAAAGATGAACACTGGTGTTCTAGCTACCCCCTTTTTATTCTCTCTGGAACCTTAGCCCATAATAAAGTGCTGTTCTCTGGTTCAGGGTGTGACTTCTTAGCTCAGTTACACGGCTCTGGAAAGACCTTGACAGACATGCCCAGAAGTGTGTCCTTAGGTAATTCTGAGTCCTGTTAAGTTAATGACCAAGATAAACTGACACATAAGCCAAAGAACATCAATAAATAATTGACTTTGCTTTTAAGAAAATGAAGTTGAGTTTTGTATATGCAGGTTGCAAAATACCTCTACCATTTTCAGTATTGCTGTGTAACGAATTATCTCAAAATTTAGACTTCAGGACATATGTGCTTTGCTCATGAATCTGCAGTTTGGGCAGGACTTGGTGATGAAAGATTATCTTTGCTTACTCAGTACATAGGGCAGCAGAAAAAGTAAGAGCTGAATCACCCTCAGGCTCCCAGGCCCTATGCTAGAGGTTGATATTGGCCATTAGACAGCTTCAGCTGGAGCTGTCAGATAACCCAACAACATGTCACTCCTCTGTGCTTTCCTGATGATCAGACAGTGTCCCAGGCAAATCTGTCACTTTGATGATTCAGTCTTACAAG